TTATATTCTAAATAGACTAAATCTAGGTTAATTTGAGGAGTCAGCAGGCTTTCTTCAACTCGTAACACGGTAACGGCCTTTACGGAATCTGTAAGAGAAACAGGACATTTTATTCTCATTTGAGAATGATAGCTTTCCTGTTGAATAAGAAACGTACCGAAATACCGATCATCCCAGAAGACAAATATCTTAGCCCAGAACTTTCATTTACTAAATCTGCTATGTCAAAGCAGAAGAGAACAACGCCGACAAAAATGTGACTAAAGCAAGATTTAACAAAAAATAGTCTTTGCATTTGCTCACGTCAGCAGCGTACACCCATGGGCAAATGGGGGACGCTAATTTGACAACAACAACAACAACAACAACAATTTGACCAATCAGAGCGCGCGCTTTACTTTGGTTATGTTATAATTACTGATCGCGTGTTCTGATCGACCAGTTAAGTTGTGCTGAAATTGTTTTTTCTTTCTCAATCAATAACTTCTTTGTTTTGTTCCAATTTTTTTCGTTATAGGGCGACATCAGGGACGACCAATTGGAAAAGTTGAGTTGGAGTCTAGAATCATCAAAGCTAACTGACCGGCAGGCATCTGGGGTCGGCAAACTGTTTGGTCGTTTTCTAAAGAAGCAATGGCCAGAGGGAAGAGATGGAGGAGATCCTTCGCGCGATGAGCTTTTGCGTCATTTGTTTTCCTGGAAACCGATGGAAGAATACTTGAAGTACTTTAGTACGTAAAGTGGTTTTCATTTTTGTAGATCACCACAAGGACAATTTGAAAATGAGGCTAAATAGATAATTTTTTTAACAATCGTTACAGCTCGCTACACACTTATCAAACTCTGAATATTGATTGTTTCACTCAATGGCGATTTTTGAAATAAAATTTCGCCTTTTTATTTAAATTAAAAAATTGACAGTTATTTTGTTTATAGACGGCCAACGTCAAGATGGATTAAGTCTACCTCCTGAAGGCTTGGGGCTTCTTCATCAGGCATCTTCACTTTTGGAAGAAGTCAGCACAGGCCTCAGGAATGCTGAGATTGACGTGAAAACTCTACGACTTGTTCAGAAAAATCAACAAAAGTTCCTAAAGTTGAACTATTTGCGATCCAGCTCTGGGGAAAATCAATCAAAAGTCCCTCATGAGGCGATCAAGATAGATAGAGTCAAGGAAAACCAAAAAGAGACAGATCCTATGGAGCTGTTTCTTGAAATGCGTTGTGATGAGCTTAAAGCGTTTGAAAGCGAGAAAGCAGCAGTATCATCGTTCGTGGAGTTTTGTTCTGCTTTAAAATCAGGTGAGACCCGAACACTTCGATACTAAGTTTAAAACTACAAGGATCGAAGGAAAAAGAAGCAACGTAACCAATCCCAAAAGCTGGATTGAACGCAAAACCTATATAGTTATTAAGATGCGTCTGATACAGTTATACCGTTTTCACTTTTTTAGTTAAAGTGAACTTGGATGAAATCAAAGAAAAGCTGAAGAAGGACATAACATCTTGTCGTGTGCTTGATCTTTGCCACAAGCGCGGAAACACTGAAGAGCCTCTGGTAAGATATTTTGAACTCACGTCGAAGAATAAGAGAATGACCAAGTATCTTCACCAACTCCAATCCAGTTATCTTTTCCGTACCATCTGGCATAAGTGCGAGGAAAAGGTTGCTCCCATTTGCCGAGATGATCCCCGACTAGCTGGAATACTGACATTAGACGCAGTAAACGAGCTTTTGTGGACCCAGTCTTTCGAAAGATGGCAAACTCTGTGGGATCGAGTATGTAGCGGGCAAATAAGTCTGAGAGAAGTGGATGAAAGATTCGACAAATTTAGAAATGAATCTGAGCGTTTCGATATTGAAATTGGAATAGCACTGAAGCTCCTTCCCGATGAACAAGATAGTGAAGCCGCCATCAATCAGCGGGTTGATCAGATCAAACAGTACCAGAAGCTGAGGGGATGCGAGGAAGCTGCTGCGGCTATCTTGGAGTTTCAAAACGCCATGCAGCTTGAAGGAGACTTCCAAGTACTGGATGACTTTCGCAATCAGGTAGTTATTTGGGATAGAACTTGGGTCCTCTCATTGAAATTTATAGAGTGCCTCTTGACTGAATATCACAAGATGGCGAGTGGATAGATAACAAGCCAGGGTAAATATTGCAATATTTCAAGAGGAACTTACGATAAATGCTAACTTTATTGGGTTTAGCAAATGATCAAAACATGGTTACTTTAATTTCTCTTCTTAATTGTTAAGTTGACGCGAGTTTCCTAAAATCGATTAAAGGTCGCGGGGATACAAACATGTTACAAACTGAATTGCACTTTGCCACAATGTCATTTAATTTTAGTTGGTATCGTTAGGAAACCTATCTTACTATGGAGGCTCACTGAGGAAAATCGACTTTGCTTTGGCATGGATGATGTAAACTGGGGCTGTTCAAGGCGTAATGATCCAAAGAAGAACTATCTATGATGCATTTTAGAATACTCTCACAGATCAGAGAGTATAGTTGTTTGATGGGAAGATGCAACCATTTGATTTTAAACTGTACAGACATATTTTGCTTTTGACTGGTATGATTTTATGATTATTTTTACAAGATGAGCGACGATTTTCGCGGGCGCCCTCTCTCAACTATTGGTGATGATGTTTTAGAAATGGGAAAAGATCTTGAACATGTAACAGCAGTTATGATTAAATGCTTGAAGACTGTCGCTGCTTGCAAAGACTATATCTATTGGCTTCGTGAGGAAGTAAAAGGTGTGTTTTCCTTAAACATTTCTCTGAGAGTTGTCTAACTTTCAGTTACTTATAGTGACTAACTAATAGACTGACTGAATAAAGAATTGTTTGAAATATTTCACATCAGTGGTAACCTGTGGTATTTTTGTAAAACTGGTTAATATTTTCTTTGAAAAGCATAAGAAAACAATAATCGGAGTCGCCGAATTTAAAATTTTTCTAATTTCAGTCTCCTGAAACTATCACGAAAGATAGATTTTATTTTCAGTCTTTTTTAAAGAATTCTCTACTCACCGTTATATTTCCAGCACCCCATTCATGTTAATGATGCCAAAGTGCCCAATTGCCCCCTCACTTGTTTTCTTTCTTGTTTAGCTTTGAATCCTGTCTAATATTGTTCACTAGGAAGGGACGAGGTGAAAACTCTGGTGGACCTAGCGATGATGTCGGCTGGTGAGACTGACATTGAAACTGATCGTGTTTCCTGTGTCCACACCACTGCTCTTGGCTTTGCTCCCTTCATTTTTGATTTGGACAAAGACACCAGCTTTGGGGAACTTATCAGGACATGTGAAAGCGTGTGGAAGGAGATCGAAAAAGATACATCTTTGCTCGAAAAGCTGGTAAAAGTCTTCCAAACGTTTTTCATTTGAAAGTATTGATTATCATGATAGTTTCATGCGGTCTAAGTTTCATGGCGGCAAAGAATGTAGAAAGCTATCTTTATTTTGGGAGGTATCAAATAATTGACAATTGTTTGATAATGAGTAACCCTTTAAAATTCCAATTTGAATATTTTGTTGATTTCCGTGACGAACAGTATTAAAATTATTTCACTTATGGCGATGATTGAAGCAAACTACGTCTACCGCTGACAGTTTTTTTTTCTTTTTTTTTAAGATATTGATTTGAAAGCAATGCTTCTAACCTTCCTTACAATGCCGAACTTTGATCATACGAATTATCTAGGTAATGCGGTTTCCTTAAAACTAATCTGCTTGATGATAATGTTGCTCTAACAGAAAAGCATCAGCCGCCATCTTGATTGGCTTAAGGGCGTAAAGGATGAGCATGCCATGTCGTCTCTCAAATTGGCTCAAGCTATCAACGAAAAAGGAGTCTACTCCATTGGCAAGTTGCAGGACAGTCCAGCATCAACTCAGCTCTATGACAAGAAAAATGTGGACTCCGTCATCAGTTTACTGTTACCTCCAAATGACCAAAGTGGTAAGCCAAAGGAATTCAGTTTGGAGAAACTTCAGGATCTACAAAGTAAACTTGCGCTAATTTCGGGAAAGGATTCACAACGAGGTCAAGAGGATATAAACAAGTTTGGAGAGGTAAAGAATTTAAAGCTGAATGATACTTTTGGCCCCCCAAATTTTTTACATAACTTTAACTCGAGAACCATGCAAATTTATTCAAAAGAAGTTGATAGGCCAGACACCTTTCAAACTAACAGAATGCGGCAGGGAAAGAGAAGAGTGCAATAAAGCAGCAAAGATAACGAGCGATTACTAAAAGAATAGGCTGGAAAAATGTCAGAAAGGGTTAAACGTTTTAGTTCTGGTGAAGCTTACTACATCTTTATTACGTGATGGTTTTTCTTTCTTTCCTTGTTTATTTGGAATACGCTAAAAAAGGATGAGAAATTTTCATTTTTATTCTAGTTGCTACAAGGTGCCGTTCAACTTGGCCAGGCGTATGTTAATCTCTGTGAAATTGGAGACGTGTCACGCCTCCATTGGAATGAAGAATACAAATGTAAGAGCTCTATGGGAAAAAGGATCATCGATGAAATCCGTTTAAAGAGCGAGGAATTTGAAGAACTGTACGACGCATGCAGAGAACATATCAACGAGATGAGGATGAAATACCGCGAGTTAAATTTTTTTACCATACGGCAACTGTTGTTCTTGCGCAAGGAACTCGCCAGTTTGAAACAGGGCTCGAAATTGGAATCTCTTAATCTCCAAGTTTATAGTCTTCTGGAAAAAGTTCTTCCAGGCCTTCACCGAAAATTACTGAAGGAAGCTCTTGGTGAGGCAGGTATCTGGGAAGCAGGTTTTGATCTGGAATTTTACGGCGGCGAAGATGCACGTAGCACAACATCCCAGTCCAGTCAAGATGATACTGCCAAGGACATCGAACAGATAAGTGAAAAGTACGAGAGCCTTCGTGATAATGTGGAGAGGTTTAATCCTTCAGAGCCTGAACGCCTGGCCGTGGCAGCTCTTTGCCACGACATAGAAGGCTCTGTTCCCGAGCTTGTTCTTTGGTGTGTGCGAAACAAGGACAAAAGCGACCTTATTGATGAACTCTACGAGAAAGCTTTGGAAGACACCAGATTCCAGGGCATCATAGGTGAGGATCTTAATTCAGACGAAGAGTCATCACAATCCTCTCAACATACCGATGACCAGATGAGGTAAGAAAATATATTGTAAACCATATCAAAAGTAACTACAAGAAAAATACATCTGATCAAAAGTTTATTCTATGACAATATGTGCACCGGTTAGAGAGAAATAAAGGTGTGTTGACAGTTTCGAAAAATGAGTCATTTCAACAATTAGGCTAGGAATACCTGGATATTAGTGGAGCACCTGCTCCCTCCTGTCTCTAAGGAACATTAGCACTTACATAAAGGAATATTAGCACTTACATAACAGTCCCGCTTGTAAGAATTGAACCAAAACGAACTTCAATATAAGTTAGAGCAAACGAAAAAGACAAAAAACAAAAACAGACCCAACGAAACTATACAGGAGGACCTTGTCGATGTTTCCAGGATTCTGAGTGCAATTAACCAAAACGATTAGGGATAATTCCTAGCCAAGGATTTTGATTAAGTACGACAATGCAAACTTCAAGCCCTCTTTCATTTATCTCTTTTAGTTTACAAGAAGGTGACGATGAGTTTTCACATTCGAGTCCACCTGAAGAGACAAACTTCAATCTGGACGAAACATTAGGGGGCACCTTTTTGAGTCTGGACGAAGTTGGCGTATTTCTGTCCTGCTTGGTTGCCAGAAATGGTAATTAAGGAAACATTAAATTATTTAAATTTTATATGCTTCACCGCCTGGCAATTTTTTTTTGCATTACTTGTTTGGGATTATGTAGATTGTCAGTTCAAGGAGTTAATGTGCTGAACAGAGTTTTTCGTAACATAATTAGCATGGACCTATAATTTTTTGATGTTTTTAAACCAGAATTATAGCATCGACGTTAACAGAATTTAAAAAACCTAGCTTAGTCCCACCTCAACGTGACATGTTGAATTTGAAAGTCTTTATGACAAAGCCTTGATGTAAAGAATTGCTGTCGTAGACTCTACCCTAAAAGACATCTGATCTCCTGCCATCGTACAAAATTATTTCACCGGCTGAGACTTCTGAACAGCGAGAATCAATTGATCTTGGGAATACTTGCTTCTCATTCTTTGTTGTGCCTTACGAAGTTTGGTTTTAATGAATCATTTACATGAACGAACCCTAAATAGTGATCATTTCTTGTCGTAGAGGGAAGAGTTACAACGAGGGAAATCCAAACTTACTTGAAAAGAGGACAGCCGAATCTCATGCTTGCAGACAAAGGTAAATTGCTACCAATAACGTCCTCGGTTAGTTGGTGAAAATAACGCATAATTTTCCCTCCTAAGAAGTAAGCACATCCCAAGGCTTCTAAATCGATTTACCTGTGCTTCAAGCATAGTAAAGAAAGGAGACTTATTTATGGTTCTATACTGTGCAACAAGTGTTGATGACTTTTTCATATTCGCGTTTATCTTATGACCCGTCCGGCCCCGCTCGCGCAGTCCCATAGAAAACCATAGTAAAAGCTGACGTGTGCAGGTCCGGACGGGTTGACTTGAGCCGGTCCGGAAAAAACCGTTCGGCCCTGCTGCCCTCATGTCGCTTTTTTTCAAAAACTTAAAGGAAAACAGAAATGAGAAAAAAAAGTTGCGTTTTCAAGAAATTGGGAGTTTCTAGTTCCGACTTCAAAAAACTATGGAAAAGTTTTTTTGTGTTCGTGTCCTATTTAAGTTGAAATTTTCAACACTTATTGGTCGTATGATAAAATACTTATTGACCGAGTTTGGTCGGGCTGAACAGGAAAATATTTGGCTCTCGGTCATGGGGGGACTGACCACGCGCATGACCTTGAGCCAAATATTTTCCCGTCCGGCCCTTCCACACATTCAGTAAGAACATATTACGAACTCATGGTAAAAGCGTTACGACAGCGGCTTCCACCTAAACTAAGTTTTTTTACGAAAAACGAGCGTATCTCTCTATTCAACTGTTTATCTCCGCATCCGTTTGTCTTCCTAATCCATACTTGGTCCCTTTCTTGATTCAATAATTTGTGTACTAACTCTTTTCAGAGAATATCTTTGCCGCTGCTCTTGAACTTTATAAGGACGAAGGAATGCATAGTTTGCCAACTAGCGAAGAAGTCCTCGTTTGCACATCTGAAACGACATCTGAGGAGGTAATTACGAGCGTGGCTCGCTTCTACACAAATGCAAGACATCGATAATCCTGCTTGCGTATTCTTTCTAGTTATTTAACTGGATTAATATCTACATGAAAAAATTACGCTCTTCTGATTGGCTGAAAACGAGTTGATTCTTCATGTAACACGAGTGCAAAGTTGTAACACGAGTGCAAAATTATAATTCGAGTGCAAAAAGTAAATATGTTGCGCACTGTAAATATTTCGTCTGTCTTGAGTTTCTGTGATGCTCTCTTCATGTACCGCAATGATTCGATTTCGCGCCCTCGCTCTAGAAAGTACCCACTCTCCATTAATCTTCCCCCCCTTCGAATATGTCTTTGTTAATTAGTACCCCGTTGAGTAAGCACCCTCATTCCAATAGGCGCTCCTATACCAGTAAGCACCCCTATTCCGATGAACGCCCCTTTTTTCTTTCAATAATGGCACTGTCAGAGTACATGTACATTAAGATCAACCATGTTTTTTTAATGTTATTACCTATACTTACTGCGGTGTGGAAAACGCCTAGCAAGTTGAACTTATGGTCTATTACTCCCTGTTTTCTAGGTCGAGTTGCTATGGCGTCGAGCCCTCGCAAGCAATGGAGAAAAAATTCACTGTTTAGTCAATGGTGACCTGTTAGACTATGATGTCAGTCAAAAGGTTGTGGATTGTTTATTCACGTTGCTGCAAGATTATTCCAACCCTGAAGGTAAGTGCTGTTTTATATTATACCTCTAAGGTCCATAGTCTGGTCTGTGGTGAGCGAAGATATTTGTTAAAATTGAAAAGTTATTCATTCGTTCTTCTACGCAAGGCACAATATTTTGTAGAAATCAAGAAGGTTTATGAACTCTTACTTTTGCACAATGCACGTATGATAATTTTTTTCCTTGTCCTTTAAAAGTAACACCGTTTGCTGAAATGAAACGAAAATGAGGAGCTTCATGTAGCTGCTCAGCGCAAAAGGAACTGTTCAGTGAAAAATTTACAAGTCTCCTAAAGGTAGATGCCGTCAAGTCATTAATTTTCTTTTTTAATGCTTTGTTTTCTTCGTTTTCGGCATTTCTCAGACTTCGCCCTTGTTGTTCTATGCAGTCGTGAAAATGAAGAACGAGCTCATATTATCACCTGTTTGGAACAGTTCAAAGTATCAATGCCGAGATTTCCTCGACCAGAAGAGCTGCGACGATTCCTCGCAAAACAGTTTAGAGTGCCAGGGCAGAGGCCTGGTGTGTATCGTGAGCGGCACGTGATTTGGAATCCAGCTGCAGAAGTTGGTCGTGTGGAGAAGTAGGTTTATCACTGATTGCTCTTATAATCACGGAGGGAAATTTTTTTTCGAATAGCCGCGAGGACAGTTTTAGGGACAAACGTTGCATTTCTCGTAGGCTTAAGCATTATTAACCATTGTTGTCTGTTTTGAGAACGAATTAATCACGAAGGCGCGCTATAAATAGGTTGGCTCTGGCCCTTGATTTCAGCCCAAATGAAAGAATCATCCAACATGGCGACCAATGGTCCGACTATATGTGAAACGGTGTGCATGGAAGACGCAGTAAAAGTATTATTTTGGGTCAAAAATTCCAAGATATTGAGTCTTGTTTTTCTTGTTGACTCTCATCTCCATAATTTAGCTTATTTTGACTCTAATTTCCATAATTTAGCTTATTTTGATTTTATTTTGGTTGAATTTTTCTGCGTTTGGGTGATACGACTTCTCCTTCGCATTATTGAAGAAAGGCGAGGAACATTTCTTTGTCGTTCTTTTTTATTTTTATGGTCATCTACATCCAGTATTTAGAAACAGACATGATATTACGCCACGGTAATATTTACGCGATGGCGAAGCGAATCATTTCGAATTTCAAATTTACCGCCACAAATGAAAACGGTTTCCACTGGAGAAAGGAAATACAAACCTCGAAAAATTCTTCCATTGAGATGAGAAGGTACAAATTTTTTAATAAATCTGCCCGCGGTTCGCTGCTTTGGATCGGCTGCAGCTCAAGCTGATATGACTATTGAGTTCTGTATATGGTGCGACGGTTGATTGACAAATGATCCAGAGGTACCTAAGGCACCCCTCTTTTTATAGCGCGCCTTCGTGTTTAAAGGATTCTTGCTCAGATGATCTGGGGAGATGAGAAACATATTGTGCTTTAAAGTGCACCTAAACCCAAAAATATTTTTTCACTTAACGAAGTAAGTATATTTTTTGGAGTATTTCTGTGCAGAAATTTTTTATTTGCTCAAATCTTCAATTTTCTGTGCCCAGTCAAAATACGGAAAATCGGCCGCCATCTTGCCCCACGACCGAGTTTAAAGAGGAATGGCTCTAGCGGGTAATGTGACGTCAAATCGACAACACAAAAGTCTGCATTTCACACATTTCCGACTAAGTGTGTTGTTGGAGGATGTAGCAACGTGTGAAATTTTCAAGAGGGTATCGCGCTTCATACATTCCTCATACAACACACCTAGTCGGCATATATCGGACAATATCGACGACAACCTTCCCCAACAAGTGAAAATGTGTGAAATGTAGACTTTCGTGTTCTCGATTTGACGTCACATTACCCGCTAGAGCCATTCCTCTTTAAACTCGGTCGTGGGGCAAGATGGCGGCCGATTTTCCGTATTTTGACTGGGCACAGAAAATTGAAGATTTGAGCAAATTAAAAATTTTTGCACAGAAATACTCCAAAAATAAGCTTATTTCGTTAAGCGAAAAACAATTTTTGGGTTTAGGTGCACTTTAAAGTGTGTTACCATTAGAAAAGACGTAGCTTGTCTCACCCGATTGAGCCAGATTACGATGGTTATTGTCACTGAAGGAAAGACACTTTGTTTGTCTGCCTTTTTAAATGTTAAATTACTTCTTGGTGTATTAGACAATTGAAGACACAAGCCAAAACTTAATCCCTATACAGGTATTTCCAAAATGGATTTAATATTTGTCACCTTATTCGTTTTCGGATTAAATGAGAGTTGAAATAGGGATCTCCAAAGGTCGATAGGTCGATGTCTTTCAATATTACGCCAGCACATTACTTGACACAGTATCTCTCCGACATTTTAAGCAATCGCTCTAAACGAAAAATTGTTTGTTTTGTTGAAGCTTAAACGTTCTCGTGGTATCCTCTGACCACCCTGGAGTTGGAAAGAGTTTGGTCGTTCGTAAGTTGGCAGAAGAATTGGAAAAGCTTCCCAACAATCAGCTTGTAGTGGAGACAATGCTGCAAGAGGGCGAAGAAACACCTCGTTTGTGTGTAACAATTCCCTTTCACGACAAAAATACGCATGTAGCAGATGCTGTTGGTTTCTTTCTTCCTCATGCTATATCATCGGATATACCTTTGTCCAGGATTTTTCATCTTGATCGTACCTGTTTGGTGAGTTTTTAATTTATTCCTTAATTTTTTTCAATACTTATCTTCTGACAATTAATTGATTAGCTGAATTATCGAAAAACATGATGATGATCATCATCATCCTTACTTAATTATTCAGACAGACTGGTGATGGAAATAAGGAAAACTATCAACCAAGAAAAATTTTATCAACAGTAAACCAATTTCGTAGGAATAGGTCACTAAGAAAAGGTTAGTAAGAAAAATCGAGAGACTTCCAAAAAATGGCTGCAAAGTCTTGAAGAAATTCGTCACGCTAAAGTACAAAATTTGAACAGTTTTTTTTTTTCATTCCAACTTATATTAGCCCATAGTAGAAAGTTTTGATAGGTATAAGGAATTTCCTTTACAACCAAAGATTTCGTTTGAAGGTATCGATTGTGATGTTCAAGTTCGATTTCAAGTCATAACTTTGAAAGTCACCCTGTTTAGGTCATTCTTCCCCCCCCCCCACCCCACCGAAGCTATACTTTTAATTTGGCACAAATGGCTGAAAGCTATCGAAACTGTCAACTGATAGGGAAATGAGTCATAATATATGTTTGAAGAATGGAAACAAAACACAAAAAAAAACTTGTATCTTGACTGGAAAGTGAATCAGCTAGTAAAAAGAAAGTTGAAGGTTGAATGACCAAGCGAAAAACGAACTTAAACAAAAATTGAGTAAAAAAACAAGCAATCATGAATTATGTTTTAGTGCACACTTCCTTTGACAGGTAACACCAGAGTTCGAAACGTTGCTATTTAATTTACTGATCTTGGGTGAGCTGACTGATGAGTGTGGACGTGTTTGGAGAAGGAACTCCCACGACTTGTATATCCTAGAAGTCACCAACCCCACCTCAATGGTAAGAATTCTTTCCCATACACGACTGAAGGATACTTTAATATATCTGCCAATATGCTTTTAACGAACATCACTTCATGAATGTTTTTTTTTTACTAATCTCATATAATTAGGGACCATCTAAAGCATTCAAGTTTGATGATCTTCTCCCTCAAATCAGATGTTGTCTTCCGAGAGACACTCTTCTCTCCTTGAGGAGAAAAGGCGCAGGTATGATTTTACTCAAGTATGACTTTGCAAAAAAAAATCATCGCGTCACTGCTTTCTGATTGGTAGTAAAAAAGCTGTCATACATTATAACTCTTAAACTATAAAATAAAATCTGTACTATTACGTTCGTAGTGCTAACTGGAATATAGCCAAAGTTAGAACATTTTTATCCTTTGTCCTTAAGCAAGGACTTTGAAGAAATGCAGTTCCCTCGGCTTTACATTGGTCAATAGGATTGTTACGGTGACGAGAGCGTTAGTTCCTCACCACTACTGTGGCCTAAGCTCGAACTTGGAGCTGGAATCATGTTTCTTGGTTGTCATCCTTTCTTCGGCACTTTTTCTTCAGTTTCTCTGATTTTTTACCCTCAACAAAAACGGACCATCTAAGGGCCTGTTTACATGGAGGTGTGGGACCCCAGGTAGGTGAGGTAACCCACCTAGCCGTGGTCGAAAAATGGCCCGCGTTTACATGCAAACTTACAACCCCGGGGTGCCGGGGTGACGTTACTAGACGTTGTTGCGTTTGTTGCCTTGCACTGTTTGTGCTATCGACGGCCGACTAGGCAAAGTAACGTTGTTGACAGTGGATACGTGAGACCCCATCGGGTCCTCTTTACTCACAATCCCAGAATATGCTTGACTTTCTTCGCCCTGTTGCACGTTACGCAGATGAAGCCGGCGAAAAAGGTCGCCGGGTTTGTAAGCGCGGGCGGCCATATTGTTCTGGTTCAAATTTGGCTCGCTTCGGCGCGCTTGCAAATGTAACATGAACTCGAGCCCGGCTAGGCGGGTTACCCCACCTTGAGTCGTTTACATGGCAAAATGCGACCTCGGCTGACAGGGTTACCCTACCTGGCAGACCGGGCAACCCGCCTAGACGGGTTACCCCACCTATCATGTAAACATGATCAAATAAAAATGAGAGATTATATGGAGAAGCGGGTTACCTCACCTACCTGGGGTCCACCACCTCCATTTAAACAGGCCCTAAAACATAAGTCGACCTGGAAACGAAAATCGACTTGTGGATTTCCTGCTAAAATACAATGATAGGAACTCCTTTATTCGCATTAGACTAATCTTCAACTTACTCACTTCGTATACAGTCCTTACTATTTCCACACGTCATGGCATCATAAAAACGTATATTTTTTGGCAGTAAAAGAAAATAACAGCCCATCATTTGATGAGGAAGAATTAAAGAGCGACGAAGTTCAGCGCGTATGGCAGTATCTTCAGCTGATCAAGGAGGAACCTGAACTTATCCAGCATTTTTACTATAACCCACGCAGTAAACGCACGAGTCCAGCCGAATGTCTTAAAACATTAATCAGGTTTGTAAACTGCTCCGTGGGAGAGACAACAGTTGTCCCAGAGAAAATCAAAGTTCAAACCTCAAATTACCTGGTAAAGTCAGGCGGTTACTCTTGAGATTCTCGTAATTGGCTTGCTCTATTTACAGTACTTATAACTGTGAAAGGGTTAATTTTTTTAATATCGTTTGAGAGAAATGATTGGTAAACGTCTATCACACTACGCACCAGATGGTTAACCAAGCCGACATCTGTTTTTTTTTTCTTTTAATGGTAATATGCTACGTGCAACATATCCTTGAATAGGGTGCATCTAGTGTTAACTCTCTCCTCAAGCGAGCTCGTTGTTTGACAGAAGTGTTTCGGAGACCAAACTGGGGACTTCTGATAACAAAACCAATTATTTATTTAGCTATGTAAGGGTTCTTCTCTCTGGATCTTTATGTATGCAATCTGTAGGTTGTTACCGTTTAATTATTGGACCTAGCTCTTTGTGTGAATACTTATACTGCGTTTGCTTTTGTTAGGAACTGTGGAGTTGAGAACCCGTCATGGTCTGAGCTTCGTTATTTTGTGAACTTTTTGAACTACCAGCTTAGGGATTGCGAGGAAAGTACGTTCTGTAAAACCTCTTTAGTAGAAGACACCTTGGAAGGATTCCGGACTTTTGTGGTTAATTTTATGATAATTATGTCAAAGGTTAGTTATAAATATGAGCAGTAATATGAGTGATTGATTTCCAAGACTTCAAGAGTCTTAAACATCGATCACTCGTCATTGGCAATCCATTTCGATAATCTCTGTCTGTAATTATCTTGGTCCCTCTACAACTAATTCTTGTAGTTTATTTTTTTCACTTGGAAAACTTTTGGTATCAAGTCGCCTTCTTATCAAAGGCGGTTTGACCTGTCACAAATGAAAGGGTGGTAATTGCTATGACTATTCTAAGTGATATAACAAAACTCCATGCCACGGATACCGAATCTTAGTTACTCTCTGTCAGGATTTCTCGATGCGATCTTTAACAGACAAAGACACCAGTCAGATTCACGGAGCATCAGCTGGTTCAGAGGAAGAGCAAGATATTGTTCCCTTCCTGCTTCGGAGACGTTGGGAGAAGAGGTAATACTTGCTAATACGTTTTGATCTCGCCATTTCGACTAGGCTTAGCTTTGCAATACTTAAATTTGACACAAGAATACATCAAATATTTCTTCCCTTTTTTCAATTTAGTCCTCATCCATATATCTTTTTTCATCCGGATCATGATACCATGACTTTCCTCGGATTCCAAGTTGATCAAGAAGGAAATCTCCTGGATCCGCAGACTCAACAAATCATTGAACAAAGGATTATGTCAAGACATCTTCGCACGGGACTTTATGTGCAGAACGTAGATTTGGAAAACAGCTTTGAGTCCCATTCGAAGTAGGTATATAGTAGCGACTGCTAAATAAAATAGTTGAATCAGTTATTGAGACTCTTCTGTCTCGTAACTAACTTTCGTGACTAACCTCCACCAAGGCAAGGGAAAGGTGGTGGACGGGAAGGACTCTTTCGCTTTGTAATTAGCGTGTCAGTGGAGTAGGAGTTAAGAAATCCCGTCCCAGCCCTTTATGAGGCGATGTGTTGCCGTGCTTCTCTCTACCCTGGAAACGCAAAAGTGCCAAAGAACTTGCGGAAGTGAAAAAATAATATCTAGGACACTTCTTAGCATAGACTGGCATTCCGTAGAATTTTTGCTTGTTTTCGCAAACTATCTAAAATGCTATTTCAGGGATCAAAAAATCCAGTCGCTGTGCCGTGTCATGGGTATCGACTTCGCACATGATCCTGATGACTCTTACGAGCTGACGAGTGATAATGTTAAGAAAATTCTTGCCATCTATATGAGGTTCAGATGTAACATCCCAGTTATCATCATGGGTGAAACAGGATGCGGAAAAACAAAACTCATTCGATATTTATGCAGACTGCAGACAGAGGGAGTAGAGCAAAGAAACATGCTGTTAATGAAGGTGAAACTAAAAACCCCTATTCTCGATTCTTTTTTACCAGTGTAGTTAGTGAGCGATCTTTGGACATTTATAATTATTTTACTGCCTATCTTGGAATTCTAAAGTTAAGAGTACTGTTAGTAGGACTGTATTCGCGAATTCGAGTTTCTGTTTTGTGGCATGATACTCTCTTCAGGAAATGAAGCAGTAGGTTAAAGTAGTTCTCGCAGAAACTTGCTGAACGAGTGAACCAAAAATACCAAATTTTGCAGCGACATGATACACTGAGTTATAAGTTTGTTTAGTGTCAAGTTATTCTAAGTTTTTGTCGGTGTAGTTGAAGCAGGGAACAGAGGACTGGATATTCAGTTGGTATGATCTATAATGAGGAGAAACCCTCTTCTTTTTTCGCTCTGGTTGTTGATAGCTTCATGCCTCCTCTTGCCCCAGTGGTCATTCCAGTACCCGGTGCTATAGCATTATTTTTCAGTGGATGTTTTACTCGTGGGTTGAGCAAATTAAAATTTTATTGATGTTGTTGTTCACTTAAGATAGACATTTCACTGCAAAGACGTCCCGTAATGGGAAGATGAGAAGAAACCTAGCAGTAACAATTTCAGAGCTTCCTTGTAACCATGAACCTACCTAACCCAGTGTTTGTCATTGATTTCGCCTTCTTTAGATCCATGGCGGCACCACTTACAAAGACATAGAAAGAAACGTCCTTCAAGCTGAGGCATTGGCTATTAATAACAGACAGGAGGGCAAAAATATCAACACGGTTTTGTTTTTTGACGAGGCGAATACCACCGAAGCATTGGGGATGATAAAGGAGATCATGGTGGACCGAAGATGTAATGGTCGTCCCCTGAATGACAGTTTGAAATTCATTGTTGCTTGCAACCCATATCGAAAGTAAGGGATATTACGAACATATAATTTATTTTGAATTGGCCCTCACGATGTCCTTTAAGTGCCTTTCTAACTAAAATTAAATGTTGTTGTTATTATGAACTTTGGATCCTCGGTTATCACTTTGGATCCATAGGGATCACTTTGGATCCGAAGTTGTAACTATTGATCTACATTTATGACTTTTACACCAATATCCGGCTTATTTAATATCAAATAATTTGGATATATCAACAAAGTTGAAATGGTAAATTGGCCACCGTAATGATTACAAAAGCTGACGTTTCGAGCGTTAGCCCTTCGTCGGAGCGAATAGAGGAATTGTGGGTTGTGTGTGCTTTTAAAGGCAGAAAATGGAGCTACGTTATTGGTGGGTGCATGGCAACGAGAAAAACATGAATAAATTAGTGGAATGAAAAGCGTTCATTGATCCCTGTGGGATTTAGACTGCCGGTTTGAAAGATGAGCTTTTGTTCAAGATTTTTACGGCTTTCCGTGCCACCTAAGTGCAAGGAAAGACCGCAGATTGCCATATGTTGCTTAGAATGATTAGGTAAATTAAAATGTCTAGCGACTGGTTTCGATGTGTCCTTGTCATTCCTTTCCACGTCTCGAAGGTGTTCTCGGAATCGGTCACCTAGTCTTCTGCCTGTTTCGCCGATGTATATCTTTTTGCAATAAGTGCAAGTTATGCAATAGATTACATTGGCGGAGGTGCACGTGAAGTGATCGGTGATCTTAATGGATCGTTTAGGTCCCGATATTTTATCAGTGTTGTGAATGAAAGGACACGTTTTGCATCGTGCACGAGCGCATTTAAAAGTGCCTGGTTGGTCATTAGTCTGAAAAGAACTTCTGACCAAAAAATTGCCTATGTTTTTGTCGCGTTTGAATGAAATGAGCGGAGGCTGCGAAAAGATAGTGCTTGTCTCTGGATCGTTTTGAAGTAATTTGAAGTTTTTAAGAATGATGGATTTAACTGAGTGGTTGTGAGGGTGAAACGTGAGAGTGAATGGAATGCGGTCGGAATCTTCCTTATGCGACGTTTGTAGTGCTGAATGTCGATCAATAAGTTGAGCGCGGTGGTAACCCGCTTGAACAACGGAAGCAGGGTAACCACGTTTATCGAAGAACTGGCACATTGACTCTGATTTGTGGTGAAAATCAGAGTCATTACTACATAAACGACGAAGTCTTAGAAACTGAGAAATATTTAATATCAAGTTCGGCCTTTATAGTAACTTTCCAAACTAGCAGCAAAATACTATGACCAAGTTACATAACAGAAGTTCGTTCCCGATTGCATCATTTAACCAACACCAAAGCCTAATTAGGAAACCTTTATTGCAGGCACACAGATGAAATGATTCAGAAACTAGAATCTGCAGGATTGGGCTATCATGTAACAGCTGCAGAAACTTCTGAACGCCTCGGTAAGAGGAGAAGAATCTCTGTGAAAGGCCTCACGAAAATGATCGAGCCTAATTATGTTAACTTATGCTATAAATAATTTTCTATCATATAGGCAAAATCCCATTGCGTCATCTTGTTTATCGTGTTCATGCAATACCAGAGAGCATGTGTAGTCTTGTCTGGGATTTTGGACAGTTGAATCCGGAAGTAGAAGAGCTTTACACCCAACAGATTGTGAGAAGATATGTAAGTAGATGTTGTGAAGCGGTTAAAATCGGTGTATCTGAGCAACGTTGGAATGCAAAAACACACTTTCCGTTTAACTCTTCGTTGAAAAGACGCAGTTCATTTAGCAAAATTTGAAAAGGCGGGAATCGTGACGTCGTTGTTCAATATGACCACTCGTGTTACATACATATTTATATATATTATTTGAAGACCAAATATGCCCTAGCCAAACTTAAAGAGTATTTAGTAAAAACAACTTTTAGAGACGGCTCGTATGTCGGCTGATAATGTACGCGGCTGAGAGATTCTCCAAAAATGAACATTTGGTCGAGAAACTAGGCCTCTCAATTTTTTTCAAATATTTTTTGGAGAAAAAAAAACCAGATGAAATCTATAAACTAAGATAAGCACTTAACTCGATAAAGTCCCTGCTAATTTGAAGTATCACACTTCAATTTTGTGCAAAATCATTATCTATTGTCAGGTTCATCGTGGTCGTCTTCCAAGAGATGAAAACCTAGTCAGTGCCATAGGAAGAGTTTTAGCAGCCTCTCAGAGATTCATGAGAGAGAAAAAGGTGTTTTTTTTCTTATTGAACGGTAGCATGTTGTTAACCTTGTTTAATGTCAATGGGTATTTTATGAATGGATGTTTTAGTTTCGCTATTATGTCTTTTAATCCTGCTGTCAATCTCTGGTAGGTTTGCCGTTTACTACACATCATGTCTGTTTTTATGCAAACTCCTTTTCTTTGTAACTCTATTCTGTAGGAAATTGGTGTACCATGTTGAAAAATGTAATGCAGCTGATGTTATCGTATTTTTATGGGTCTTTCCTAATGTTTTTTTAAGAAAATGTCGCTTTATCGTGGCCTGATTACGAGGAGGTCTTTATCATTTCTTACAAACTGGTTTTGAATTTCTACTCGCAGGATGAATGTAGCTTTGTCAGCTTACGTGACGTAAAACGAGCCATGGACGTCATGATGTGGTTTCACGAACACTTTCATTACTTTTTTTCTTTGATGCAAGAAGAGGAAAGTGAAAGTGAAGACGATGGCAAGAATGAAGGCGAAATAGAATTTTGTGCACAGCAACCAAATCTGAAAGAAGCAGCACTCGCTTCTGATGATGAGCGATCTGTTCTGAAAAAGGAAGAACATGCACCTTTCAAAGGGGAAGGGCGAAAGCTTATCGATCACTCAAGCAGGTTTATTCCTCTCAAAGAAGAGGCTATTGTCAAAAGGGAATCAGACGAACAATTTCCCTGGTTTACGCGGATTCACCATTTTGCTCACAGAAAAGAACGGGTTGTTCTTCCAGAAGAAACCGTACGCGTAGAAGATTTAGAGCCCCCACAGGTGGCTCCTCGATTCGATCCTTCAAATACACTAGGCTTTGAAGAATCTGTAGAAGGACTGCTCTCAGAAGAAAACGTAAGTAGTGCTTTAGTTTAAACTGTTATTCAATATTGGTGAAAGACACTCGCTGTTTCAGTTTTAATAATTACCAATTGCGTGCAGTCCGTTTTCCTCCTATGAATAATTTCAATCTCATACGAAAAACATTTCCTTTATGGACCTCACAATCGACTAGTGAGTAATTTAAGGCGGAAGTTAACTTAAGCGCAAGCATCATCACTCCTTGACTTTATCACACCTCAACACCATGCCACCTTCCACGAAGCCCTTTGATTATATGGCTGTTTTGGATCCCAAAAGACAAAGCTTTGCATTGCCTTGTATTTTTTGAAGACATGAAAATGACGATCTGATGGTAATTTCATCAATATCCAACATATTTTCGTTTTTTGAAACTATAGTGATTGCATTATTTATCATTAATTGTAGGGAGATGTCGGCGACAGAATTGACCCAGTAACCTGGTCTTTAATTCTTGCTCTTGGTGTTTGTTACCAAGCACGGTTAACAGAAAGGAAGGAATACCGTGAGGCAGTAGCGAAATCATTTCGAACACCATGTAGGCTTCCTGGTGGAGCTGAAAAGATTGAAAGAGAAATTTGTCGGTAAAGTTGTTATTTGTTGACGATGGACCTACAAGTGTAAATGCGGTTTGAGAGCGATGCAGTTTAAATTTCCTCTCAACGCCATTTTTAAAGTGCACCTATACCCAAAAAAGTTTTTTCGCTTAACAAAATAAGCGTATTTTTTGGAGTATTTCTGTGCAGAAATTTTTTATTTGCTTAAATCTTTAGTTTTCTGTGCCCAGTCAAAATACGGAAAATCGGCCACCATCTTGCCCCACGACCGAGTTTAAAGAGGAATGGTTCTAGCGGGTAATGTGACGTCAAATCGAGAATACGAAAGTTTGCATTTCACACATTTTCACTTGTTTGGGAAGATTGTCGATATTGTCCGAAACATGCCGACTAGGTGTGCTGTGTGAGGAATGTATGAAACACGATACCCTCTTGCAAATTTCGCACGTTGCTACATCCTCCTACAACACGCTTAGTGAGCATATTTTCGGACAATATCGACTACAACCTTCTCAAACAAGTGAAAATGTGTGAAATGCAGACTTTCGTGTTCTCGATTCGACGTCACATTACCCGCTAGAACCATCACTCTTTAAACTCGGTCGTGAGCCAAGATGGCGGCCGATTTTCTGTATTTTGACTGGGCACAGAAAATTGAAGATTCAAGCAAATAAAAAAAATTTACACAGAAATACTCCAAAAAATAAGCTTATTTCGTTAAGCGAAAAAAAATTGGTTTAGGTGCACTTTAAACTCTAGCCATATTCTTTTTCAAATTTCTTACTCATTTTCGCGTAAAATTAATATCGATAAGACGTAATGGTTGTTCGACTGAATATCAGGGGGAATTATTTCGTTTTTGTTGTTTTACCATTTGAGGAGATAAATAAAGAGGAAAGTTTAAATCGCTGTCAATCATTTATGAGTTTATTCTTTGTGATGAAGATGATGGTAAATATTGGTATCTGCGTTTCCTTATGAAGATGTCAAGAAGCTTTAATGAGGGAGCTAGAACTTGGACCCAACATTGCCTGCAACGAAGCCCTTAGTGAAAATGTGTTTATGATGGTGGTGTGCATTGAACTGAGGATTCCATTATTTGTGGTTGGGAAACCAGGCAGCTCCAAATCCCTGGCCAAGTCTGTTGTAGCTGATAACATGCAGGGAGCCAGATCAAAATCTAAACTTTTCAAAAAGTTTAGGCAGGTAAGACAAAGGCACAAAGTGGTTATTAAACAATGATAATAATGATAAAAATAATAATGATGAAATAATAATAATAATAACAGTAATTATCAAACTTTATTAACACTCAAAGCAAATAACTACTTACAAGTTAAAAGTAAAAACGACCTAATAGTAGTTCCGATTTCAATTAAAATCCTATTTACAATCTAATCCTTTTCATCGTCATCAATATTGTTATTGTCGATGCTAAAATAAAATGCGTCTTTATTGTTCAAGAGATAAAATTACACTAGCCCTAAAATATAATCATAATAATTCAATAAATTCACAAAAAGGTAGAAACAAAAGAAAAAGAGAAGGTATATATAAAACTTGGTAAAATTCACAAAACTACGTTGGACAGGCGGTAGCGTTGTCGAGGGAGAAGTCCAAGTCGATGATATCGAGGGTTCTTTTGATGGATCGTGATCCTCTCAGGTATAGCAAAGCTGAACGAATGAGCGCGAATGAGAACTTGGCTCTAATCCATGACATGGTGCTTGCATAGCTCTCTCCCTTCTTATTTGATACTAACTCAGCTAAACGTTTATGGTATATTTTACATTCTGTGCCCATTCCTCCTGTTGTACTAAATATTAAAGGCGTAAAAGTTCCCTGTTCGACCTCCATGACCCTGTTGGCATACTGACGTTTCTTCTCACTCTCATGCTGCCTGTAGACTTGTTCGGGAGTCTTTTCACGGTAGGATTCTGCATTTGGGTGGCATACCCGAACATCAGAGAATGCAGATCTCTGTCGCTCTAATAATAACAGTAATAATGGTAATGATATAATGATAATTGTGATGATAATGGTAATGATAATTAAAAAAAAACTGTTAACTCGCTTGGACTTGTTTTCTGTTGTGTTTATGTTCCAACTGCGTTAATTCAGTGCTATGGAGATATTTTCTCTGCTTAAGTCATGAGAGGCGCGTTCAAAAATCTCCTCATCTGATAGCTTTCGTGGTGTACGGGGTGGTTCCAATGCAAAGATTTGATGGAAGGGAAGAGTTGAGGCATCAGTATACACCACACGAGTAACATTTTGAGAACCTATTTAGTAGCTAACAAGGATTCTGATATTTTTCTTTCTCTTCAAATAAATTTTATCAAAAGCAAGGTTTTTCATTGAGCTGTAAATACCTAGGAACTGAATCAGGTGCTTCCATTTTTTTATTACAGATTCAATTGGTTTCGTACCAATGTAGCCCACAGTCCACACCTGAGGGGATACTAGCGACATTTAAACAATGTAGTGAACTTCAAGAGAGTAAGAACAGACAAACAACTTCAGACACATTTGCTTCTGTGGTAGTGCTAGATGAAGTCGGATTGGCAGAGGACTCGCCCAAAATGCCCTTGAAAACTCTACATCCCCTGCTGGAAGATGATGACCAAAACGACGAGTTTGTGATCCAATCTGAAAAGAGTTTTACACGCGTTGCTTTCATTGGTCTGTCCAATTGGGCGCTGGACCCAGCCAAAATGAACCGTGGAATAATGCTTTGCCGTAATGAACCTGACGGTGACGAACTGGAAGCAACTGCCAGGTAATATTGTTAAGATTCCATCTAATTTCTGGATTTCAATTATCTACTTGTATCAAAAAAATATCTAGAGTATCTCTTAAATGTGAGGATGACCTTAAGTGGGCCATTGCAGTGATGTAATGAGGTGCTCATTATGAAGACAAACGGGGTTTTTGTATGGAGTCGGAACAGAAGGGTAACAATAAATTAAAGATTAAAATCAACAACTTGCTCCGAAGAGGGGCCAACAAGCGAAATTTCAGCTTTCCATGATAAATAAGTACATTGAAGAAGTTAAGCAAAGATGTTTTAGGCGTAAGTAGGACCGTATAACGAATGCATCTGAATCAAAGCACCAATTTTTCGTTTCTGGATTTCTTAAATCGAAATGCTGCAGACAAGATTTGTAAAAAGCACTAGGGAAAGTAATAGTTTACTTCCCATTGTCATTTTATCTTCGAAAATTTCTTTATGTAGGCAGAATATTTTCGGGCAATACTATCAGGAACCCTGAGGTATTGGTAAAGAAAAAGAATGCTCAAACCCGACTCATTTAGGGAAGGCATGTTCTATGTCCAATCACTCATTGTTTCAAGTTGATTTTAGAGATGAACGTACAAAGGATAGGAAATCTTTCTTTCTAGCCATAACCCATTCACGGTTTCCAGTTTATTCGGTAATCAACATGTAAGCTTACTAAATACTGTTAAAGTTCGAATAAAACCTGTTAAAGTACCTCATTTACCGATTAAGCTTCGTAGATTCTACGAATCTTGTCAAGAAAGCAAACTGGAAATCAAACAATGGTATCAAAATGTTGAAATAAGATCGCTTTCATCTTTGATGTAAGCTTTAAGTTGAATATTGCAGGGGTATTTGTGGAGGCGATGAAGACATAATGACACACATAGAACACCTCATATCCCCGTTGGTCAGTGGCTACAAAGACCTCTACACCAGACAGAAAAAGCTGAAGAAACTGATCGATGGAAAGAAAGATGAATTTTTTGGACTACGAGATTTCTACAGGTTTGGTTGCCATGTGACCTGATCTGATTATGTTATAAATTACGTTTTTAAAGAAATTCTAATGTCTGTAATTTATTTTGTTTTAAAACAGTCTCATTAAGATGATTTTCTGCATCGTAAAAGAGCAGAAACGCCGACCAAACTGGGAAGAGCTCGAACGGATCATAAAGAGAAACTTCAGTGGCCTACTGGAAGATGATTTTAATCCTGTGAAAATTCTTATGGACCATGTTGATTTTCCCGAGGAATATATTCAGGTAGAAACACTTTTTTTATCACCTGAAATTAGAACTTGCTACTTGAAAACTATTTTTCATCCTTTATCCAACACCGAAGTTTCATCTGTCAATAACGTCTTTCAAGAATACCTATATCCGGAGAAGGACTTAAAATTACCAAGCAGTTATGTTTATCACTATTGGTTATGACGTCAGTTTACACAGAGAAATTTGGTTACAGCGAGTAAGTGAAATGTGGATCTAAATCAAATACATATTGATTTCTACCTCATGATTTCTTAGATCACACACGTACGAGGAATTCGTAGTAAAGATTAAACCATTTTAATTTAAATGACAGACCGAACAAGAGTACCTCCAGAGAATATTCTTTTGGGGCATTCTCTGGTGGTAGCCGGGTTAGCTAATGATCTGTTCCAGAGGATATTCCAAGGATACTTCTGATGGGACTCCGAGCGATCGCCCAGTTAAAAAAGCGCAATTTACTTCATATTCGTAACCACCAAGATGATAATTGTTTCCAGTTGCTACATTCTTTAAGTTATTGTGTATTTTACTAACCTTTCAAATTCTGTAATCTCGCATACCTTACAGAATGAACAACGTAGAGAAGTTGACGCTTTGGACCTTATCAGGGCAAGCCTGAATCGAGAAAGCGTGATGGGGTAAGTCTGATACCGACTTGTCTTCAATTCTTCGGTAGAAATTACGAGCTCTTGAGATACGTACTTCCTTGAGTCTTGTATGATGTAATCGTGTGATCTGTTCTAATTAGGAGGTACATCTCCAGCCCAATATACTTAATTTATATCAATAACATGGATTGATCATTCCCTAGCCACCACAAGCATGTCAAGGTATTATTTTAAAATGATAATTATTTGACCTGCAAGCATATCAAGTTATTATTTTACAGTAATAATTATTTGACATGCTTTTGCTGCCGCACATAGCCAGTCAGTGCTCGTCCCTCTGTTCTGTCTACAAGAATTTAAAGGATGATATCTCTTTTCTTTTGCTCAAAGTGGTTTTCTCTTTCTTTGTTTTATAGAGATGGACGGTATCTACTCATCATGACTGAGAACTTTGCAGCTCTGCCGAGAATAAAACAGCTCTTGTTAGAACAAGACGAGGAAGAACCATACGTTATCTTTGGAAGTGGTTTTCCTAAGGACCAGTTATTCACTCAGGTGAAACTTCTGTGCCATATGTCGTTTTCCCCTTTCAGTCAGTGTATCTGTTTACTATCTTTGTCATCAACTATATCACTTTGCCACTAGATCACTAACCATATATTTCGCAAGCTCTCTGCCTGTTGTCTGTATCCCTGTCTCCTTGTCCATCTGGTGTCTTGTTTAAGTGAGTATTTTTGTCTCGCTAACCGTCAGTTTGACTCTCAAAAAAAACTGTTTCGGTTGCTTCAGCTATTTTTTTGGTCTTGTCACGGCCATTCCTCCCGCCCTACCCAATTATTTCATTATTCGTATAACAGTTCGCTTATTGATCACTGAAACGTACTTTAGCTTAATACCTTGACTAAAGATTGTCTAAACATACTTTCTGCAGGTTTGCCGCAATATTAACCGTGTCAAGATGTGTATGGAGACTGGCAGAACGGTGATTTTGCTGAATCTTGAAAACCTGTATGAAAGTCTCTACGACGCCTTAAATCAGGTCAGTCGCGATCGCGCAATAGAACGAACAATGTGAATTTTCTGTACTTTGTCATGCCAAAGTTACTTAGCCGGTGGTGCACTATATAATTATACACCTTTTTCTTGCCACAAGCCTTCTTCTTAAAGCTATTCATAAATTTCTTTTCAGTATTACGTCTCTTTTGGAGGAGAGAAATATGTCGACCTTGGGCTCGGGAATAACCGAGTCAAATGCCGCGTTCACAAAGATTTCAGGTAATTACGTATTGGGCCTGTCGTTATGACCATTTTCATGAGGAATTGAAAGTAGCAGTATTTCAATTAAAAAGGCCATAATGCACTTTTGAGATTAGCCACAAAGCTCCATACAAGGAGCTGTACCAGTTACCTCACGTTTTTTTTTGCGTAGTAGAGCTAGATAAGTTCATTTCATCCAAACAAAAAGCATTATGACAACAATCTCTACATAAAGCAATTTGTTTTATGTATATGAGGTTTAGCGTCAAGAAACAGATATCCATTCATGGGCTGTTGTGAAGAACGTATATGGTACAATAGGTTGCACTCATTCACAAAGGTACTTCTTATTTCAAACGAACAGCTGTTCCAATCATTTTTTTCAACAGGCTCATTATCATTGCTGAAAAAGACGGGGTTTACAACAAATTTCCCATCCCTCTTATCAACCGCTTGGAGAAACACTTCCTTGTTATGTCATCTGGCCTCACCGAACTTCAGAAGGAACTCTCTTGGGAATTGGAAAGCTGGGTTCAAGATTTTGCGTCTATACTGCATCGGACCTACGAAAAACAGAGGTTTTAAAAATTAGATCACTTTGAACCAGTTTGTGCCTCTGTTATTTTCTTTTATTTGGCTATGATTGTTATTACTGCTTATAAAGCTATCTTAATCTTCTCATTTTCCCGAAATATCACAAGAGGCCTGCTATTTTGCTAGTGGAATTCCCCTAAGTACTTATTAGTTACCTATACCTGAATGATTTGAATTAAGCCTGGTGCAGTTTGTAGACTTGTAAGACTGAAACGTGTCCATGTGGCAAGTTGTAATTGAATTAATATTCCGATTGAAAGGATATATTGCAGTTCTACTTGACTTACTCTGTAGATGGCATATTCGCCTTACTAAAGAGCTAACCACGTTTTTTTCATTAAGTACATTCACAAAGGGAGATGCTTTTATTGGTTACCACGAGGACATTGTTCCGGCCGTGGTTTTGCAAGTTTGTGCTGAGCTTTACAGCAACGGAACCTCCGTCACAGACCAAGATAGGAAGTGTTGGGTGGAAGAAGTAAGTTGTACTGCGATAGAAAGGAAGTACTATAAGTGATTATCGATAAGGTTAAGCTAGAAGAATGAACAATCTCAGTAAAGAAAACGTGGTGTACATCTCTTTTAGGCCTCTAAGTACTTCCTATTGAGGTACTTACTTACGGAAATACCAACAGTTCAGCTGAAATGGTTCATTCGCCTCTGGGATATTTTGTAAGCATAGCCCATTAGGCTGGGGAATATAATTTATGTATTCTGTTAAGCGAAGCTACGTATAAATCTTCCCCTTCCTCTTTCTTCTTTAAAGCCAACACAATTTCAGGAAATGACTTTGAAAGCTGAAGGTGGGCGTCAAAGATTGGTATCCCAGATGTTGTTGTCATAGTTGTTTACTCTGCTGCTGTTGTCTGCTCAAATTGACAATGACCCTTTCAGATTGATGACGAATATATCAGGGTTGAGGTAGGGATGCCGTGTTCGTGTGTATATAAAGTTTTATTTTCTTCCAGGTGCTTAGCATATGTAAGGAGCGTTTGCTACAGTGTGCGACTCCCGACTCTGTTACTCGTCTCCGTTTCTCGCGTCTGAGCCCAAACGCAGACGAATTATGGAAGACATACTTTCACAAGCAAGAACACTCAAGCCTGGCCAACTTTTTAGAAAAGGCTGCCAACTTTGGTGCCGATGGGACGTCTAAAGCATCATTTCGTGCCCAAGTAAGAACATTAGCTTTCTTAAAAAGTGTTTCGTTGGGTGAACTTTAAATGTTGGTTTAATCTATAAAAATTGACACTTGTTTCGACATGACTGTCTAAGGAAAGAACACGGGCGAGGATTAAAAATAACAGTGGAAGATCTATTTGTTCGAGCTTAAAAAGCAAACGTCCGGCCACTGAAAAAAAAATTGTGTAACAAATTTGGCGATTTCCTTCGAACTTTCTCTCGCCTAATGCCAGCAACATTTTTCCCCAAATTTCCATCAATCTTGGCGAGAATTTCTTCTTTAGGATATTTCAAATGCGGCAGATTTTTCCAAATTTAGTGTGAATACCTTTGCACAGTGCTGTAGTAATCAGTAAAATCGATTTGAGATATCGTGAATGAGAGGAATACGGTATCACTCTACTATAAACTATGTTCTGGTTGTTATTTTCCCTCAGATTTCGACACACTCTCGTCTTCTGACAGACCGAGACATTTCTGCCATTGCCGGTGCTGTTAACCTTCATCCAGTTTCAGTAAAATGTGTCTCACTGAAGGAGATCCAAACTGAGCAGGACTTCTGCAACCGAATAGGGTAGCAACCAGATTTTCAATATCTTTCAAGTAGAATTTAGACATGTAGCTCCAAAGAGAAACAACGATGGTGGTAGAAATTGTCGCGACAGAGTTACGACAACTATACCAAAATTAATTTCATGCTCTGTTACAAAATCATTGCAAATGCCTTCGACGAAAGAGGATAAATCTGCAATTCTCAAAATTGATCAGATAAGTGATGATTATCATGGGGATGCATAAATGAGATTATTAACAAACTTGCATCTGTATATTACTCAAAGCGTAGTCAAGGTAAAGGAACACAACCTTTGACACTTATTTGAGAAAATGCTCTTAACCTGAGGGAACTGAATTTGTCTTAATGAGTTGGTCGTTAATGTGCATTAATTTTTTTTAAAACTCCACCACGAATTATGCATTTACTGTTTAAACGAGGCAACGTCTTTCGAAGTCGTCAATTCATTTTACAATTCGAGTGTTAATTGTATGTCAATCAGGAGAGACTTTTGGGCCAAGCTTGGAGGAAGGGAGAGCCTGTTAATCGTTCAGTGCGATTCAGCTGACCAAAACCTGAATTTGGTGGCATGCTCTCGTCATCTGCTCATAGAAGAGTTGCGGGAAATGGAGAAGGAGTTGGGGGAAATGGCCGAAGATTCGGACGAGGATTTGACTGGTGTCAGTCACGTCCTCATGATCATACAGTTGCCTAGAATAAAAGGGGGCTGTAAAGAGTTCGTTGGTGTGCAAGGTGAAGGATGGTTGTCTGTCCACATCGACGAGTTGTGCCCTCCAAGTGAGGAAATACCACCGATTGAAGCACTGTTGGACCGTTCGGTCAGTGAAATTTTCGAGGGTGCCCTTAACGAAACAGAAAAGACAGAAAATCATCCGACTATCAGCCAAGTTCTAACAAGTTGCGTGCAATTAGCGGCCAGCAAGATCGAGGATGATGAATCAACGCTTGAAAGGGCAACTAGAAGGATTGAATTGCTGCTTAACTTACTTTCGAGCACTGGTAAGATCCTTGAAATATTCTCAGTTCAAATTTACTCCTAAGGTCCATGAATAGGGCGGGCCATTGTTCAAGGACTTGGTCAATTTTACCAAACGCTCATAATGAATTCAACCTCCCCCCCTTTTACTTTGGGGCCTTGTAGACTATGAAAATACATTCCCAAGAACACTGTTCACGTACTGTTATCTGAAAGCATAAGAAAATCAATCCCAGCCATATTCTTTGCTTGTTTCTTTAACAATGCTGCTGAGGGACAACGTGAACAGCTTATCGATACATTTTATACAAAATGGCTTTTTGGGAAATTTAGCTGTTAATTACAAGGTCGTCCATAGCTTCATAGTCAAAGTTACCCAATATTTTGATATTTTTCTTTTTAGGGCAACAGGATGACAACCGTTTCGAGCTGGTGGTGGCAAAACGACTCCATGTCTTGCTAGTAGAAAGAGATCAGCGAGCACCAAAAGAGGGAAAGGAGTGGCTCGAGGACGAGGCCAAATCGTGCACTGTGAAGGAAACTGGAACATTCAAAAAAGCACTTTGGCGCCGTTTCCAGTCTGTGGTGGCCCCTATTCTGGCAGAAGTCATAGCATACATCGATCGCGACGGAAACCTTGAACTGGCTGCCAGTGAAGACCCTTGGGTATCACGTCTCTGGTTGAACATCTTTGAAGACGCGTCTTTTTCGGATCTCAGTTATGGAATGTTTATGTCTCGAGAGGAAGATGTGGAGAAAGTCAGAAGCAAAGTTCCAGTTGTAAAATCAGGTTATCGATCGCATGCCTTTCAATGCAGGTTTCCATTTTCGTGGCTCCTCAAAGAACAGATAGATGAGATGTTTCAAGAGGCCAGAAGTATTGCAGGTTAGATTGACTGAATTGGAGCTAAACTCTTTTCTAGCACTCGAATGATCGAAGATATGTCTCGGCCTCGGTCTAAACATCTTTCTATTCTTTAATAGTTCCTACGATCACGACTCATCTCTATTTTCCGTATGCGCTGTATTAAGCCCCCTTCTTTCTGAAGACCTTTCGCCTGTATGAAGCTTAAAGTTTTTGATAAGTTCCTTCTCTCAATCCTTCTCTTACCTACCAACTAAAAAAAACAACCTCATAAAGTGTTTTGCTTAGAAACTTCTCTATAAATGATAAGAGTTTGTTCATTTGGGCAAAATTAAAAATAAACATTCATTCGACAGCCCATTTTAGTTTTGGGTAATCATCAAATCTGTATTTATTGATAGAAAATTCTCACGAAACCCTCATTGAATGCTTACGGAGGTTGTTGGACGCTTCAAGCGTGAGGCAGATTGTTTCCGAGGCCACCTCAAAAGGCGGCGATGATTCAGTGGCTCGTTATTTGCATGACTTTACACAGATGGTGCACAAACCTCAAGATGAAGCTGAGACTGAGGTAATTGTGTAAGAGGAGTGTTATGTCTCATCACTTCAAAGAGCAGTTTACTATCCGCAAAACTGTATCTACGTACCTGTCATGGATGACGGTACTAACACGCTTATGTGGCTCTTTGTGGAGAATACTAGGCCATTGAAGTTTCAATCATAACATCGTTTTATCTTCATTTTTAACTCATGAATTGGGCATGCAAAATACAATTGAAATGCAAATGAGGTACGCTCGCTACTTAATTTTAAATTGCTGTCCATCCTTAACTAAAATAAAGTATTTAAAGGTCTAAATTAGAAGATATAAGGTTAAAGAAGACTCGGCCACCGAAAATAAGAACATCAAGAATCCTATTAAAAATCGACGAGCAGCACAAGTTCTCACCTCATGCAGACTTTGTAGTGATTTTACTCAAACGGTAGTTGTTGAAGTACCTTGAGGTACGGTAAATGGGCATGTACCGAGCGAAACGATAAAAACACAAATAATTTATCTATTGTATCGTTAATAACAACGAAAAAAAGAAAGGAAGAAAAAAAGGCAACTTAGTTTCACCCGGAGTCCATCGCGGGCCCTTAGAACAGCAAACTCATCCACTCCTCGCTGTGTCAAGACAACAGCACATAGAATAACCAATATAAAGCAATAACTTTAACTAAACCGCTGATAACACAGCGGGCTCGATTCCGTACGATAGCGAAGTTAAGTCATCTGTCAATTCACGAGTTTGCTCACAGAGCACTTTGATTGACTAATTGATTTACTATTAGTATACCCACAGTTAATACTCTTCCTAGGGGGGTTTCATTAGGTGGGTTACCTCGTTTTAAACCATTGATTAATTAAGTTGAAAAAGTGAATTACGGCGGATTCTATGTCCATATCTAAACCATTTGATGAGCTATGAGATCCTTTGTCTTCTATAGATTGTTCAAAGAGCGATTACAGCCGCTGCAAAAGAGCTTCAGATCCGTGGACGTTCACCAGATGATAGGTTCGCCATGGATTTTGCACTGATTCATGTGGCACATTCTCGTATTCAGCAGCGACTCAACTGCTTAGCCTTGTTTCTTCAAGTCAAGCCTGACCTTGCAGAGCACCTTTGTAACATATTTTCTTGGGAAGAAAACGAAATGGTACGTATCGGTTTATTTAAAAATTTATTACAGCCATTGAACGTGCGATCGGAAACTCTTTAATGCTAACAAAATAATTTGTTCATGCGGTACTGAGCTCATATGTGGAGAATTATATTGGCCTTCTACACAGTCGAGCACGTATCCACATAATAATTCTCTCATTTACAAGTGAATAAACATTACTTTCTCAGACTGTTGATGCTATTGCTCTGCAAATGTGCCTGGAACGTATGGAACCTTATGCTGAGGAACTAAAGACCACCTCACAGAGACAGGCTTGGTGTGACTCAGTTTTGTCAGTGAAGATTCCAGTGGAAGAAATGATCGGCAAAAGGACGACCGAAGACAAGATGCGTGTTGGAGAAAAGACTGAGTCCATGCTAATACACTGCAGGTACCTTTTTTTAGTTTTAATACCGTTCTTGTGCTTTCTATTCAATCCGTTTATTCTGCTACTTTGGCTTTAATTTCAGATCAATGTGGCAACGCCTTAGTGCCGTGAGACTATTTATCGAGCACGCGTATCCATCCCAAGACTCAACAGATTGTGGAGATTTGCAGAGCATTTTAAACCTTTGGAAGGTAGCTGTCACATTGAAACTAGGTTTTTAAGCAAGACATAATTAGCAGAGTCTAACAGAACAGTGAAAGCCAATTGAAAACCTCTTTGGAGATGACTCTTACGCAAACGAACGGAACACAAAATGATATAAAAATAAATAATACTTTTTATTATTTCGCACATGTGTATTCAACTTTTTCATGATTTGCTGATTAATAAGTTGGGCCACTAGTTACTCAGTTGAAGCACTGTCCCGTGTTACCCTCGTTAAATAAAGTTGATTGATTGATTGATTGATTGGTCTCAGGCCCTTGGTGAAAAAACAGATTTTACAAAGGCAGAGTCCCTGAACACTGTTGAACGCTTTTTGATAAGCTGTGCGAAGGATTCAATTCCACGATTTCAAGAGTAAGTAACATCTGAAGTTGCACTGATTTTACTTTCCAATTAACACCTACTAGAAATTCTGCTTTTATTTAGTCTAAATTATATATAGCGAAACGCTAAGGTTAAGTCAATCGTGATTACAGCATGTAAACCATGTGACCAGTGTAGTCGGTCCAGTTTTATCATTTCACCTACTACTTCCTTACGTGCTCATGCAGTTTTAATACTATTGTTTGTACTAGAAGTGAAGACCTTGAAGTGCAGGCTAAATTTATCCATCGATGCAACGCATTCTTCATGGAGATTGTTTCACTGTTTTGCTTTGGAGACGACGTGCGTAATTTGGATCCAGACGTATTTGAAATGCTCATGAGATATGTTACAGGAACAAAATCTGCTGGTGCAACGAGAGCATTCTCACCTTTTCCTGAATTTGGAACAGACAGTAGTCCTGTTGTGAGATCATTCCTCTTGCAGCAGCTCATCAATTCAAGGTGTGTCTCTCTATAGAGTTTGATGCGTTAATCGCTTTTTCTGATAAGCATTTTGAAGACATCTTTATAAAGTCGACTGCGGCGACAAAGGTCGCAGAAATGAACAACTTTAATAACATTCTCAGCTCATAGCATGACCTGCTCTGTCATGCTGAGTTGGTCGAAGAGACGTCGTCTAAGCTGTCCATAGCGTGGTCTACGACTGTAACTTACCTTTTTTTTCTCCATCACCCATTTACTCTTTCACATCGAGTCATATTCGTCGCCATAACGTTTCTTCTTCAGAGAGCCTTTTTCTCAAAAAATTAATTGACATCGTGAGAAACAATGTCATACCAGTTACTGTTTTCTTCGTGTGATAAATATCTTGATAGTGACGGAAAAGCCAAGAAACACCTACAGCGCTTCCTCTTCGAAGCTCAAGGCTTGTCTGCAGAGGTGCCTCATATCCTGAATGTTTGTCTACTTGCCGTGCAGTGTATGGAGGTACATATGGATTTATACTACTTTGAGACAAAGCGTTCATAGTTAAAGATGGTGCTCCAGCAAAAATGGCTTATTCGACAAAAAACAAACCACTGAAAAATGTTACCACAGGGGGGACGGGTCTTTAAAGCCGTACTGTTATTTTGATACCCAAGAATGAAGCACATACCGAGATATGGATGAGCATGAGAGAGGTGGAAAGACTGATTTTCACTGACGACCAAGTTGGAGTCAGAATAGTAGTTGTCGTAAGAGCGGTTTCGATCTGGATAAAATCCGCGAAAATCGGAGACGTAAGCTAAGTCAGAATCTCGACGGAATCGGAGGTGGAAGAATTAGTACGGTTTCATTTTCTGCCGATTCCGCTCGACTCCGACACTTTTATTCCAGTGAAAACTATATTTTCGAATTCGTAAGCAGAAGAGTTGATTCAGAAATAACCGAGAACGACCTCTTAACATAGCGGCAACAACCTAGGGAAGAAAACAAGTTTGAATTGTGATGTACTGCAGAGTTCTCACAACGAACCTTTGTAAACCTTTTGCTCCTATCTCGTTTCTCCCATTATTCTCACTGCCTAAGAGGAAAGTTACTAATATAATCTCAGCTAAATGCGATGAGAATTTTACGGCTAGACTCATGTTACTGCCCAAGGCATGTTATATACGCACGGCATATGCTCCATGGTGGCTCTATAGAATTAGACGGCCGGTACGTGAGCTCTCTTATGTCTTTCAATTGGCAACTGCAGACTTGATGAAAAAGTAAAAAATGGAGTTGATTGATGGAAAGCACTTTTTATTTAATGGAATAGCATTTTATCAAATGAATTAAAGCTCTTCACTTTGTGCTCCTTGTGATCTACAGAACTCCTGCGCTAGTGAGTTAGCTATGTTCGCTAACTTCGATCTTCCAGTACAAATTGGTAGCATTAACAAAATTTGTCAAGACGCACTAAGAATCTTACAAGAAGACTTCACAAGTTTTGATGAAATGCAGGTGGATTCTTTGGAAGCGGTAGCTAAAGCACGCTGTAGTTTAGGGATGGCGGCGCATTATCTGTACGCTAGATGTGTTAACGACGATGAAAAGTGGCTCCAAAGGGAAACGCGAGGTGCAATGGAATTCTTTTTCAACACTGTCGAGACACTTTGCTCATTGGGTCCGTTGGGTTCCAAATCTCCTGCTCTCTTTCTACTCAAACAGCTGGTTAAACGTTACGGGGGACATGCCATTGTTACTGTTTCTCAAAAGCCAGAACTCTCGTGGATTATTCCAGCTGAATTTCAACGAAATGAGGTGGGGCTGTCAGTCGTTGCCCGTATCACTGTCTATTTTATCTTTCATTTTCATAATGTTTTTCCACTGAGTTTGAATTTAATCTAATGCATTTTTGTCAATGTAAAAGAGTAAGCGAGAAATACTGTTTACCCCCGTGAGTTTATGTGGCTATACATTTGTTTACTCTTCAACAGGGAGGTCTTCTTAAAATGTTTACCCCTCCATGCAACTCGCTTCAGATACATGTCCCTTGATGCACAATGAAATGAACTGCTTATGATCTGATATATCATTGTTTTCTCTCAACTCAGCATACACACTTCAAGTCTCAATAACGTTTGTTACCGTGCCCGCATTCTCCCCTTTTTTCGTGCAACTTCTACGTAGGTTTTAAAGTATACCAGTTTTAACCTGTAAACAGTGTAACAATGAAATTCTGTGATAACCTAACGCAATCATTTTCAAAGGATGTCTCTTATTACTCTGAACATGTTGTGGAACGGATGAAATTTACATAAATCTTTTCACGCGGCGAATGTTATCTTCTCCAGTGTTGCATGATTCTTAACTCTTACAGTATGTTTTCGAACAGTTGCTATAAAAGTGGTATTCATGTTTCCTTAAAACTATCAACAGGACGCTGAGATGAATCTGGATCGGTTTCTTGTGTATGGAGAGTTATATCAGGAATTAAGAGACTCGATAGCCAGAGCAGTTTTAAGCAACGAGACGAATGAACTAGTTGCGTCACTAGAGGTAACCCAGAAATATTTGTAAGAAATAACTCGCCATGCATATGCTGTTCGACCTACAACCAAGGAAACCTGAAAAAGACCGGCGAAAAGAATTGCTGTGGACACATTTTGAAGTATTCATTCGCCTTGGGTTTTTCCACGGTTGGGTCTGAATCCACTGAGTTACTTTATACGATAATTCATGAAATGCCTATACTGCGACAATAGCGAAGTAACTACATGTATCTGTGCTATGACTCGTCAAAAACATATCGTTTGATCCATTGTTTAACTGACAGTTATAATTAATTTGTTAGAGCAATAAATTGCACTTTTTATTCGTTTGCTGGTGTAATAACCAAGTGGGATATTAAGAGAACTTCCCAAAGATCATGAAGTAACTGATAATGAACCGGGAATACGATCCATTACTTAAATACTACACTTGAGTTACAGGGTACTTAATCCTTTTAACAATAAAACGCAAAATGATGTCATGGAATTTACTAACTTACCTGGGCCAATCTGTGGTATTCCAGAGGTTGGGCGAAGTCCCGGGACAGCATGCTAAAGATATCATTTTACTTCTGGCTTTGTATCGAGAGATTGTAGTGCCGCGAGGAACGTTGGAGCAAAACCTGCTGTTTCAGCCTGGAGTAAGTAACGTTGTTTAATGTGCGCTTCAGGAAAAATGATGATTTTTGTTATCCAATTGCAGTCCAAGATTGCCAAAAAATATGTCTATTTAATGAGCAATTTCAGTTGTAAGTAGATTAGTATATGTTTACTTGTCATAATAATACTTTCGATAGTAACAATATCATATCGTATCGTCATCAGAAATGTGTAGCGATAACAGACGTAATCCTTGCAAGGAGCAGATTTATTTCCATCACTGTAAGTGAGAATCCTAATTGTTTTCATTATTTTACACGATATTTTCTACGTAGAAAAGGCCAAGAGTTTCAGGATTGCTTTTTACTCCTGTCTCGTTTTAAACTTTATTTCACATCCAAGTTTTATGAATAATAAACAACTAAAAGATACGGGTTGGCTTTGAACCAACAAAGTATTATTTTAAGATTTCAAAGGTAATGAAAAATATGCGCACACATGTAAATTCTCTATCATTGTCGTCGTCAACATTCTCCGTTGTCATGCTTATAATAACAACTTGTGTATAGTAGGTCCGTAGCAGAATGGTCCTTTCTGCCACCTTCACAGGTGTATCACAGGAAACATCATTCCCAAGTGTTACATAGTCATTTCTTAAAATTTTTATTATTTAAACAAATAGGCGCGGAGTTTGCTCAAGAATCTCTTGAAGAATCCTCAGAACGTGGGATTTCCATTTCTCACTGTTGAAGAGACCCATAGTGAAAAAGAGAAGGCATTGACCGATATTGTGTTTCACGCCACTTCCGTTCTTCGGTGCGTAGAATTTGATGAGTTGCTGACGCCTCTGAGGGAGATTTTTCTCGCCCCAGGTCAAATTGTGGTGAGTCGAAGTTGCTGTTCGACCTCAACTTGGTTGGAACCTTTTTGGTCATGTCATGTGCAAACAAATAGCGTTTGTAGTTAATGCATGTAGCTATTGACTACCTTTGTGGGTCCCGCAGAATCATATTTAACCTGACTAATTGCTGCTGCGGAATTTCGTATCAGTATATGCATTCTCCCATCCTGCCTGCTCACAGCAGACGGTATCCTATCCGTTGCTTGTACAGTCGCCTAGTACACCCTATGCTTCGTTTCAAATTTTCATAGATGTATTTTATTTTATCGGCTGGGCACGCAGCATTTGTAAGCAAAGTTTTTGGCCTTTTAAGACCTTATCAGTATGCTTTTAAAAACGTTTTGGTGAAACCTCTGCTTTTAATTTGCATTACCTCTGTTTTCTCTACCATCTACTCATTCAAAAATTGTTCCGTTTTTGGAGGATCTTGCCGTAATTACAGCCTTAAGTAATCAGGGTTCTTTTGGAAAGCATTTTCTTAAACTATAGAAAAAAAATGTTATTTATAAGGCTTGATTGGTCCGTAATGGGTAAATTTGTGCTCTCTTTTGAGTACCACCCTCGGCCTAAGACCTCCCGGCGGATGAAAAACATATATATATATATATATTAGAGACCCACACACACGAATGCTGGGAGTCAGCAAGTATTTTGATGAATGTGCTACGGGATTGACCCCTCAATTCACTATCGTTCCGTTTTACAAGATTCTCGGCCCTTCTGAGGTCATGAGAAAGAACAAAGAAATATTTTTTATTTCTAAATATAAACCTGTTCTTAATGATATGAAATTACGCTAATTGCTCGTGCGTGCCTCGAATTACAATAATCATTATCATTCTAATTACAATTAGATCTGTGACTTAATAAGTCAAGAAAGACACGTTGCTATGCCTGAAGAGCCGCAACAGCGGTGAAACGCGTAGCGCAAAAGCAAAGTAAAAGAGGACTTTCGTTTTTCATTTATTTTA